GGCACTCTGCAGACTCCCCTTCGGCCTGGGGTGTCTCCGAAGGCATGCTGGGATGGGACTGATGCCTTTGAAAATTCACCATAGTTCCAACTCTGTAGGGAGACATGACAACTAAATGTAATGTGAAATCCTGGATGAAAATGCAGGAAAAGGGGTCGGGCTGGGCTCTTCTGGGCATGGTGAGCAGCGGGCCCCCCATGCGTGCATGACAGGGATGGCAAGCCTGGGGCTCTCTGCCTTGTAGTTTTTTGGTCGTAGGTTAGACAGGTGGTGTCAGTAAGTGGAGACTGAGGAAAGTCAATCTTACGATTGGAAAGTGTTATGCCTTTTCTTCTGCTAGGCCTTTAGTGTTGGTTTTTCATTCATTCTTCCTCAGGAGTTAGGCTGCCTTGGAGAATTGTTATTGCTATTGTTACCCTCAGCGTACCACAGACCTCAGATCATGGAGAGATGTCTTATGTTTAGGGTAGAGGCTGGTTTTCCAGAGGGTTTTAATTCGTGTGTTTTTGAATTTCAATTTTAGCTCTTGGCCTCATGCTGTGCTTCAGTTTAAGAGTCTTTCTTCCAACTCTGCTAGCAGCATCCCACTGCTGCTTGTTCTGGACGCTCCGTGGCCTAGTGGTGGGGAGAAGGGGAGAGTGTTTCCTGAGGACCTGGTTAATCTTCAGTCCTGGGAAGGCCCTGTGTTGCTGGTATCATGGTGTGGCCTGTTCAGTGCTCCAACCTTGCCTGTCGTAGTTCCTTCTGTACATGTTTCTGCCTCTTCCCTGGGAATAGAAGCGTGTGTGTGTGTGTGTGTGTGTGTGTGTGTGTGTGTGTGTGTTTCACCTCCCCTTCCTCAGGACCTTAAGGGTGATAGTCTCTATTACCCTACCCTCTCAGATTAAGACTTTGTTTCCATCTAGGAGATGGGGAGAAAGGCCCACTACCATCTTCCCTGTGAGCAATGGTGGAATACTAGGTAGAAAAGCCTTCAAGGTGACATGAACCTCCCACCTTACATACTGTCCCGAGGGGCTGAACACTTCCCAGATTGCCACATTTAACATCCACCGATTCTTCACCTACTCTCAATATATCCAGCGTTGACAAGAAGGGAAATGTTTTGGTCCTCACGACTGGCCAACCGCAGGAGGTGAGACTAGCACTCTGAAAAACTGCACTGTCAGGACTTCCCTGGTGGTGCAGTGGATAAGACTCCACACCCCCAATGCAGGGGGCCGGGGTTCGATCCCTGGTCAGGGAACTAGATCCCACACGCATGCCGCACCTAAGAGTTCACATGCTACAACTAAGGAGCTGGGGAGCTGCAACTAAGGAGCCACCTGCCACAGCTAAGGAGCCCGCGAGCCACAACTAAGTAGCCTGTCTGCCACAACTAAGACCCAGTGCAACCAACTAAATAAATAAAAAAACCTCAAAAAAACCCCAAAAACAACAAAGGAAACTTCACTGTCCGCTTCCCAACTTGGCCTAAGATTGTTAGCCACTTCTTCTGTGTGTTAGGCATAGATTTTTTTTACTTTATCTTGAAGAAGAGTGATACATTGAGGAATGATAGTATATGTAAAAAGGAGCAAAGATAAGATGAATCCACACTAAAAAAGACATCTTTATCTTAATTTATTTGACCAGGTAACAGTTTCTGCCTCTAGGTATAATTTTTTGCTGAAATTCAATGTCTCATGGATCATGTGTTATGGGGAAAACAGTGAAATTAAGGATGTAATCTCCATGCCTTTCTTTGACTTAATTTGCTGCCATGCCCTCTACACATAGTAGAAAACATGTTTTTTAGAAGTGCCAAGATTATATGGTTTTTACAGCTCAAACCTCAGAAAGAGAGAGAATTTATCAATTCGAAAATCTTGCCTTGCTTCTTCTGCAGGGATCATTATACTTAGGTTGATTCTGTGACATCTTATCATGATTTGTGGTTTGGGGATGGAGAGAATGTCTGTAATGCATGGAATGTTCCTTACCCAAGATCACATCCATCATTCTAGCTCCAGAGTTTGTGCTCTTAACCACGTGATGCCTCTGACAAGATTAAAATGGACCAAACAGGTTACTTTCCCCTTTCTAAGAGCTGGATGATGTTGAACCGGGAGAGATTACATCTAGACAAGATAGTGACTGTGTTGGATCCACACAGCTCCCTTTCCTGGTCCACAGTGACCAGGGCAATTCCTGCTCATCTTTAGCGGTGAAACACTCCAGGCATTTTTCCTGCTGCAGTGGCACCAGCTTCAATGTGGGTCTCCTCTCCTCTGCCAGCTGCGTAGGAGTCAGTCAGTCAGTTCTGAGGCTTTTTTATTCAGAGGAAGTTGTTCCACGGGTAACTGTACATTCGATGTGTTTGTGGGAGGAGGTGAGTTCAGGACTCTCTTACACTGCCATGTTGGACCCCTTTTTTTCTTTTTTGAATGTGGCTCTGTTTCTTCATCCATTTCTCTTGGACACTGACACACACTTTTAAAATTACAAATAAAGGAAATGAGAGACATGCATCCTGTTCTGTTTTAAGGCAGGCTAACTTCTTGCTATTTCTTAATGACTGTGTTTAATTTTCCTTTAACCTAACACGCCATTTCCTAACAAGTCTCCACAGTGTACATACATGGTCCGTTAGACAGTGGTTCCCAAACTTGTCTGCACCTTAGACTCAAGGGGAGCTTCAAAAAATACTAATGCAAAAAAAAAAAAAAAAAAAAAAAAACTAATGCCTGTGTCCCATCCCTAGAGATTATGATGTCACTGAGCTGCAGTGTGTTTTGGGCTTTGGAAATTTATAAAGATCTCTAAATGATTCCAGTGTGTAGCCAGGTTTGGGAATCACTGTCTTTAAGGTTCTTCTTCTTTTTTAAAAAAATCTAATCATCTTGGGGTTAATTCCCAACTAGGCTCTCATTAGAAGCATTTCCCTTATAAATTAGTGTAGGAAACAACAGGAGATTAATCCTAAATCCATCCCTTCTCCCTACTGTGATTGCCTTGGTCTTCATCAGGTTAATTGAAACCCCTTCTGATAAGTGCAGGGAAAGCATTAATGGAGGCTTCACTTATCTGCACACACTTTCCTGTTCTGCTATGTCTTCCCTGCAATGATTTAGTTATGATTTGCATGATACCTTTTTTTTTTTTTCCAATTCAAATGGCCTCTCACTATACCTGAGTGGCTGGCTGGGTCTGTCTACCTACTGTCTTCACTTCTGAGTGGACACGATTTCCCTCTCCACTTATGTTATCTCCATCTTCTGGATCTAGCCAGCGAGCTTGTCAAGCTTGTTCCAAGGGTTGCTTGAGCTACACCTCAGACTGAGACATTTCACAATTTGGAGCCAGACTTGGTGAAGCAATTCCACACTTCTGTGTTTGTCTATTCTTCTCTGACTGGGGGCAGACTGAAGGTACTGTTGATTCTGTAATATAAGCAAATCCCATTAGGGACCCTCTGGTGGTTATAGCCAATACTATATTGGCTTTCATTAGGAGCTAGGGCAGATACAAACCTGAACACAAATTCTTTGGGACTTTTTGGGCCACCCCTGACCCAAGGGAATATGTGAACATAGTCTCAAACATGAATCTGTATTCTAAAGTAAAAACTAAGACTGCTGTTTCGTCAGGGCATCATCCCCATTTAGCACGAGTCACTGTGTTTCATCGGCCTTGGCCCTCCAGGTTTATAACACCATCTGATTTCCAGGGAGTGTGGATGACAGAAGAATAGATGCTTTCAGTCAAACAAGCGTTACTGAGTTCTGGACTATTTTAGGCCATATGGTGCCACAGCCCATGAGAGTCCTTATTCTCTCCCTTCTTCTCTGGTTCACTACCTCTCTAATTGGCTAGAACTAGAGCATCGACCCCAACCAAGGGTGAGAGTTGAAACACACCCATGTCATCAATGGAGGGCCCAAATCATTCTTTCTCTTTTAAGCACTTCTTAATTTTTTTAGTTGCTTAAATTCTTTATTCTCTGTCTCTTTGAAGAAAGCTATTTTTACATTAAACCATAATCTTAGGTATTTTAAAGAAATTTACCATTACTTTCAATGATTGAAATAGAAAAGCATTTTCTCCCACTTTATCTTTGCTTCAGGGACCCAAGATAAGTCCAGAAAGGTATGTGATGCCCAAGGCCACAGTTGCTTCTCTAGATTAGGGCAAACAAGGGACATTGTACTTATGTATTATTAATGCAGTATTAATAATAACTGAATCTATTGAGCATCTACTATGTGCCAGACACTTTCCTAGGCTCTTTCCACAATTTATTTCAATTACTTCTTGTCCTACCCTGTGAAGTAGGTATTATTTATTGTCTCCATTTTACATATGAGGATGTAGAAACTTAGGGAATTTAAAACTTACACAGCTAATAAATGGTGGGATCAGAACTTGAACTTATCCTGACCACTGCAGAGTCCATGTTCTTAATCTCTGGAGTCTTCTGACATGATCTCCTTCCATGGAAATGTTGTCCTTAAATCTCAGTAAGACAGCTTGCTCTGATTGTAAAAACTAAGGCCAACATAGCACAGGGAGGTCAGCTCGGTGCTTTGTGACCACCTAGAGGGGTGGGATAGGGAGGGTGGGAGGGAGACGCAGGAGGGAGGAGATATGGGGATGTACGTATACATGTAGCTGATTCACTTTGTTATACAGCAGAAACTAACACACCTTTGTAAAGCAATTATACTCCAATAAAGATGTTAAAAAAAATAAAAACTAAGGCCAGCATGATTGTTGGGGTTCTAAATATGAGGGATCAATATTTTAATGCACATATTAGTCACTGGAAGAATCATTATTGACATCATTGACATCATCATTGACAAACAGCATTTTATTCACTCAGACTCTGGACAGGGTTCTGGTTGTTAGGAGATGATGGAAGGGGGGCTGACTTGGCCTCCTTGGGGGTTCTTCAGCCACACCTGTGCCCTGTCACTGCTCATTCACATTCTGCTCTAAAACGCTCCCTTATTTCACAGACCTCACATAAAAGCGATGGAGCTGGCTGACAAGTCTGAGGACTACTGACGCTTTTGAAGGAAGAAACAGCAATTTCAGAAAATGAATCCTGTGGTTTAGAAAGAAATCATCTGAACTTAAAGAAAGAAAGAAAAGAAGAGAAAAAAATTGTTCTCATTACAAAGAAAACAATTTCCTTAGGCCTAGAGAATTATAGTCTATTTATGAAGGCTTCAACCCTCTGAGATATCTAGATTTTGAGTGTCAAAAGGAACCTTTAAAGATAGCTTTTTCATCTGAGTCCTGAATTTTACAGAAAGGAAACTGAGGCTCTGAGACAGTTTGGGACCATATAACTAGTTAGTGGAAGCTGACTCCCAGTTTTCCTGCCTTTATCTTTTTCCTTTTTACTTTTGCTCTTTAAATGACAAGGTATTCATAGGCCACTGGGAAGAAAAAAAAACAAGACAGCTTGTGCTTCTGCAAGAAAGGTCAGTGAGAGCTCCGAAACTTCTAGAAAGAAGAGAGTCAAATTAATCTAATTCCAGGAATAGTCTTGATCTTATTAGCTGAGGGACTGAATAAGGAGGCAAAGGCCTTACAAAGCAAGATTTATTACTACTTTCCGTAAAAGCCCAGGGAAAATGAATATTGGCTTAATGGGGATTTGGGTCTATAATTTGATTCTTTGCCTCAGCTTAGAGAAACAACCCACAGACAAAAGGTCAGTGGATCCTAGTAGTGATCTCCTGAGCCAGTGAGGAAAGGGATCACCTGCCATTTCTCCAGGGACCCCTAGGATCAGGAATCACCTCTGTGGTATGGAAACCTAGAAAGGAAGAAATCCAGCAGACTCTTACTGGCCTGGAAAGTGTGTTAAAAGTGCCAGTACGGGCGTCCCTGGTGGCGCAGTGGTTGAGAGTCCACCTGCCGATGCAGGGGACACAGGTTCGTGGCCCGGTCCGGGAGGATCCCACATGCCGCGGAGCAGCTGGGCCCGTGAGCCATGACCGCTGAGCCTGCGTGTCCGGAGCCTGTGCTCCGCAACGGGAGAGGCCACAACAGTGAGAGGCCCGCGTACCGCAAAAAAAAAAAAAAAAAAAAAAAAAAAAGGGGCCGGTGCTTCTTCACCTGACCCTTGAAGCAATTGATAAGATTTTCTTAGTGAGAAAATCTCTAGCAAGGATGTGACCAATGGTACTAATACTAGTTCCCAGGGGAAGAATTTGGAGGCGAAATGGAGAAAAGAAAGAGGGCTGGGCTGTGTCAATTCAATAAGCACTTACTGGATGCTAACTATGTAGTAGACACCAAGAGATAAATAAAACCTCTCTGTTCCTGGAAACACTTGCAGATGAGTAGGAACTAGCAACTACAGAGGAAATTTTTCCCAGATTTCAGACACCACTATTCAAAACTGTCCGGCATCCCAGCAGCTCATTTCCATTCTGAGACCTTGTTCTGTTACAATTATTGGGCATCACAGTTCACTCTGTGGGCTACAAAACTCCCCAGCTAATTAGCAGCTCACAGATGTTAACCCAGCAGCTGGGTGCTGGATGAGGCACACACAGCCAGCCGAAATCTCAGGATGCTTGAAAGGAAAAAGAGAAATTCAGATGTCATTGGTGCAAACAGGCAGCAGGCCCTGTCCCAGCCCAGCTCAGAAATTCAGTTCTTGATGGCAGCCTCACTCTATCAAGACTTCAGTTATTGGGACTTCCCTGGTGGTGCAGTGGTTAAGAATCCTCCTGTCAATGCAGAGGACAGGAGTTCGAGCCCTGGTCCGGGAAGATCCCACATGCCACAGAGCAACTAAGCCCGTGCGCCACAACTACTGAGCCTGCGCACCAAAACTACTGAAGCCCGTGCACCCTAGAACCCATGCTCTGCAACGAGAGAAGCCATCGTGATGAGAAGCCTGCGTGCTGCAACGAGAAGCCTGCACACTGCAACAAAGAGTAGCCCCTGCTCGCCACAACTAGAGAAAGCCCACGCAACAAAGACCCAACGCAGCCAAATAAATAATAAAGAAATAAATTTAAAAAAAAAGACTTCAGTTATTGAGAAAAGGGACTATTTGCTTTAAAAAAATGCATTATCCATCATGGGATCCAATCCAGGCCAGTGCCAGTTGGATCAATCAACCTTTTAAAAATCTTCTTAGGGTAAAGATTCAACTACAGTCATGAATTAAAGATGTGAGGGAGAGAAAAATAGTGTACAGCTTGCGGTGGTTAATACTGGGTTTAAAACCAGTGACACCGCATTAATCTTGCTGAGGCCTAATCGGAATTGAGTAAAATTTGTTTTAACCATTTCTGTTCTGATTGATAAGCATTAAAAATTATTGAATTTTGTGGAAGATAAGAAGGGGAATGACTTCAGTGGGGAAAGGGGAGGCAAGTCATGGCTAAATCAACTTCTTTTTTTTTTTAATTAAAAATACCCCAGAATTTTCCACCAAAGCTGTGTATCTGTTTGCTAAATATTAAATGAGTGCCTTATTGGCCAATTTTACTCATCCCCCTACAGATATATTTCCAAGTCATGAATCCTCCTATCCATACATGACAGGAGAGGTAGTAACTGGGGGTATCCGTAGTTGTTAGGGTAACTTTTTGTATCCCTAAGTGAATTACCCATTGTTCCTCTGTATTTTTACAGGTAGAGTTATGGCAGAGATTTCAGGAAACCGCAGGCTGGCTTCATAGGTGTGCCTCCAGTGCAGTTACACAGGGCTGCACACTCAAAAGGGACCCCACACTTGGTGGTTAAGGCTCACCGTTCACTGTCTTGAAATTGTTAGCAATTTTATCTTTGATTTTGTTTCTGTAAGTGAATGGGACAATGGAGCATGTGCCCAGGGACTGGTAGCCTTTACCCCCCTGCAGTCCTCTCTTCCTAGCCTTCCTGCCTCCCTGGGATGGATTTTTGACTATCTGCTCCCTATCCCCTGGCAACCTGAGCCTCACCTGGCCTCCCCTTCCCCATCCCTGCCTTGTGATCACTGCCACCCTCCACCTGGAGTGATGACCAGGTTGCATCGGTTGGGGGAGGCCTGCGTGCCACTATTGCCTTCTGTTCCTGGCAGGGGTCTGGGTGCAGGTGTGGGGAGGGTCCAGGTGGGGTGTGTGCTCATGGCATCTCATGGCAGGGCGACGTGGCAGTAATCTCTGCCCTGGGCTGGCAATGCCGCAGTGGGCAGCCTCTGATCTATGTACTGAGTGCAGCCAGCATGGAGGCTGCAATCTCTCAGGGAGTCACCTGTTGACTGTGGGTTGGGGCAGTGGGCCTATGGGAAGGGGGAGATTGATTTCCTCACCCCTGGCCAGGGCCCTGTATTTTCATTTTACAACGGACCTGGCTGGCAAGTGGTCAACCTCAGAGACTGTGGAGAAGGGAAGAAGCCAACTTCTTGATGAATAGAGTTTTTATACAGTATCTAGCTTGGTATAAAACCTGTTAGTAAAAACATGAGTAGAAGAAAATATGTTCCTGCTCTCAAGGGATTTTTAATCTAGTTAGAAATAGATGAAATTGACATAGATGAAATAGCAAGAAGGTTTCATCAAGGATGTGGAATTAGAGAGTGGTCCTGAAAGTAGGATTTAGGTATGGAGGAGAGGAAGGAAGATACCTGGTCAATGTGTTCCAAAATGTAGGGAAGCCACCGGGAAGATCTCACATGCCACGGAGCAGCTAAGCCCGTGCGCCACAACTACTGATCCTGTTCTCTAGAGCCCACGAACCACAACTACTGAAGCCCACGCGCCTAGAGCCCGTGCTCCACAACAAGAGAAGGCACTGCAATGAGAAGCCCGTGTACCACAACGAAGAGCAGCCCCCGCTCGCCACAACTAGAGAAAGCCCGCGTGCAGCAACGAAGATCCCACGCGGCCAAAAATAAATAAATTTATAAAAAACAAAACAAAATGTAAGGAAGCCAGCGCAACCTCAGAACTTATGCTGACTCGATGACTGTTGCATATTTTGGTTCAAGGCTGCTCACTCACAGCATTCCAAGGGCAGGACCATCCTGGTAAGAGGGGAAGATGTGGGAACAGGCACGGCTGAGGTGGCTCACTGAGTGAGAGGCCTGACAGAACCGAAGGTGTGGGGTTAAGGTGGGAGGTTGGCTGCACCAACCCTGAATTGTGTCAGGCAAAGGAGAGAAAATGGGTTCAGAGCCTCCCAGCTGTGTGCCCTGAGGTGCTTACAGCAGGCTGCGACTGTCCAGCGCAGCAGGCCACTCCACGTTCTTCCTAGACCAGCGAGGAACGAACAAAGGGAACTGACCTTGTGCTTAAGATGCAGCGAACTCGAACTTCACAGGGAGCTCGATGATGAGAGGGAAAAGCAAATATTCTCTGGTGAAGGTTGACTTAATTAACCATTTTAATAATTCATGAGTCTTTAAAATGTTTGCCAGAAGATTCAGAGCTCAGATTCTGCTTCTGGTGTTTAGCTCTGGGTTTTCTCCATCACAAGTTGTGCTGCCTTATGGATCAAAGACAGGAGCCTGGGAATGTGAGGTCTGGTTGGCCAGGCCGTGCACAGTTCTTAACCCTTTGGGGCTTAAAACCTCTTTGAGAATCTGATGAAAGTTCTGCACCCTTGCCCTAGAAGAATGTTTGTATACACAAATTCAGGGCTTTACAGGTTCCCCTGAGGTCCACCCTTGATCTCCAGCTGAAGATCCCTGATTTAGATGATCTCTAAGCGCTCAGTCTCTTTTAACTTACCCACAAGCGCTCTGTCAGGCTGTTAGCTGGAAATGCCGTGACTCTTTGGGCTTGCAGGCAAGCAGCCTCGTGTAGCTGTTTTGCAAAGTGAGAGGTGCATACTGCAATATCTGTTCATCAGGCTGAAGTAACAACGCTAATGCAGAAAAGAGAACTGGACGAATCCGAAGCCATGAGTCAGCTCCCTCCTGCCACCTGCTAGCAGGCAGTCTGCTGCAGCTGAGGGGGTCAGACAGCCTGGGGCCCTCAAATCCCAGCTCAGTCACTTTCTGGCTGTGACTTGGGGGAGGCACTTAGCCTCTCTTAGCCTCAGTTTCCTCATTTGTAAAATGGGGCCAGTCAGATTTACCCTGTTTCCTCATGTTCTGAGGATGAACTAAACTAACCTCTGTAAATCGTCACGCGTAGGGCCTGGGCCGCTAGCACTCAGGAAAGGGAGTTCGTTCCCCTGATTTTACCCATAAGGAAGAAGGGTGCTGTGAATGTGGGGACACCGTCTTGATTTGATGGTGGGGGAGGGCACAGACGGAGGAGGGGCAGGAAACTCTCTCTCTCTCTGAACCCCTCCATACGTGGCGCCTCTCCCTTCCCTCATCTCCCATAGGACTCCACACGGGAACCTAGGAGGGGTGCAGCTCAGCAGGCTGGAGGGGGCTCTCGAGTAGCAGCCATGGTCTGAAGCGGCTCCTTGTCTCAACCCCTCCGCCACTGTTCAAGCTCGTGGAGGCTGCAGGAAACGATGAAGGGAGATACTGGGCTTTTTCTGGCGGCAGGCCTGACTGCAGCAGAGGAGAGAGAGGGGGGAGAGATGGATGGCTTCATTCTCCTCTGTTTCTGAGCAGACAGTCTGCGTGTGATTCAGAAACCCACAGTGAAGCTGGGGCTGGTCCTGGGGGACATGCAGAGCTGGGCACGATGCAACTCCTGCTCTCAAGGACCTTGCAACTTTGCCGTGGAAATAAGATAAGCCCCAGGAAGGAAAGTGACAAAGGGCTACATTGCTGAACAGGACATTGCAGAACTCTGTCCTGTCCAATACAGAGTCCGGGAAGGGTGGGGACAGTGAGGGCAGGATGATGGAAAACAGGTTTCTGCGGTGCCAGGCAACTGACAGCCACTGACTCAGTCTCACAGTCACCCCGCAGCAAAGACGCTCTTAGCCTTCGCTGTGCAATGAGGAAACGGAAGCTCAGAGAGTCAGTGA